ACAGGTGTTTTTTTTTTTTTTTTGAGGAAAATGGGCTTTCTGAAGGAAAATGAATTTATGTGAAATGGAAACAAGCCCTACAAGCACTTAAGACTTGATGTAATTGCTCTTGTCCAATAACCCTGTTAGACGGGTGTGAGCCCTTTCCCTGGGGACAGCTCAGGGTACTCTCCACTGCCCTGCACCACAGGCCAATAAGGTCCTGGGAAGATTTTCCAGAACTCCACACCTGGAAACTCCCCACCTGGTACTTTCCCAGGTTAGAGGGAGGGAGGGGAGAACCAGAGGACCCATACTCATATCCATAAAAACTCCAACCCAAAATGGGATGGACTCAGTTCTTAATGAGATACCCGCCTGGCCTGGCAGGTGCACTCGCTGCATTACGCCTGGCTAGCATGCTTTCTGCTACTCTGCCTCATGCATGAGTTCTATCTTGCAAAAGACTAGACCCTCTGAGCAGCTATGTCCAGTAACGACAGCAAACAAAAACACAGTGATAACGGGAAGTGCAGTGGGGTTGGGGTGGTAACAGTTATTATCAGGAAGGCACTGAAGCTGCTTAGCTGATATTTGTATAAGAAAGTCAACAAGGCAAATAAGCAAAGAGCATTTCAGACAGATGGGACAGGACGTGTAAAGAGCTGAGAAGTAGAGAGAGTGAACGTGTGACAGAAAGAGCAGGGAGGAGATGATGGGGGACCAGGCCCAGCTGCAATACGCCCCTATTCACCTAGAGTCATCTAACAGTACTTCATCACTGCTGGAGTTTTTCACACTTGAGTAACTTTTAAACTAATACATGAGACATAAAATTTGCAGGGAACTTTCAAATTGATTACTCTACAAAAACTGCGTCCCAGCATACTTACTCATATAACCACAGCAATCTCACTGTTTCAATAATGTAAGCAAAACTGAGGTACAACATATTATCCCATGAATATAAAAAAATTCATATTAGATTTCAATAATCTTACTATTTCTTAGTCTCAATTGACACAGGACAACTTCTGTATAGAAAGCTTTGTCCTACTCAGATGTGAACTAGACAGGGGGTGTTTAAAGAGAAATACACATTAGTAAATCTAATTTGCTAATCCTGTCCTTTTAGTGACCAAAAGCTTAAAATAACTTAAAAGATCTCAACTGTTTCCATATATACCACAATACCTATCATGGAGCTGACGTGTATGACATATTAATCCCACTAAGACATTTTTCATACTAGTATTGTTGGTTCAATAAATGCTAAATAATAAATTTAGGAATAAAAATGTAATCAGTAAATTTATTATAAAGAAAAGAATTTCAGAGGGCATTCATACTGGGATAAAAAAAAAGGAAGTAATATGCCAAAAGCAGTCAAACTGCTCAAAGTTTAAGAAGAAATTTCCAAAGGTTTCGGCTAATGAAACAAAAATGAAATACTGGGAAAACAATTCAAACATGCGTTTTAAAAATTTTGAGCATTTCTACAGTTACGTAAGAATTAAAACGAGTAAAACTGCAGCACTAAGCACACTGCAAACTGTGCACATTCCATCTTGCCAAGACGGTTCCCACCCATTCCCACCAGTAAAACAGGGACGAGCTGGGCAGCAATGAGCTCAGCTGCAGGGGCTTGTTGCTTTTCTAATTTCATCCACTTGTTCAGAGCCTGATTTCTATTTTACTCGAACGTCTCTGGGGTGGGTTTAAGCGGACTCAAATGGTCCTAAACAGGCATCTGAATAAGCACTGAAAATGCATAATAGAAACTTCATTTGTTCTAATGAACATCTGGTGTTTTGTTTTAACAATTTGACAGGTTAATCGCTTGTCTTCATGTTTAAAGAACACACATGGTTTTGCCAGGGCTGTTAAACAGTTTGTGTGGGGGTGAAAAGAAAATATTAGCAAAGGGGAAAGATTGGTCTGTATTTTTTACGGGTGCCTTGTTAAGCAAACAGGGGGTTGAGAAACACTCTTTAGATTCCTGACTGTGGCATATGAAAGGTGTGATTCATTATGAAAGTAGAAATAAAGCCCACTAAACACTTTAGCAGGAAACTTTTGCTATTTTGAATACAGAAATGTTATTTGAAAATATTTTAAACTCAAAAACAGTAATCCCAAATCTTTCAACAACAATATATTAAAAAATTTCAAAGTTAAAGAAAACAGAAACTAAGAGTACGGATAAAGTACAAAAGAGACAAAATTAATGTCAGAGAATACTAGTTCCCCACGCAAAGCAGGGAGTTAGTTGGACACAGAAGGAGTAGGCATCCATTTACAGTTTTAATGAACTATATTTAGTACTGCTTCCCTCTGACTTGAAGTTGAACTAAACTAAAAACAACATAAGAAGTATAATATTTTCATCAAATTCAATTGCAGCTTGGTCTAACTTCTTAAATCGCAATTAACTACTGGTGTTAACAAAGAGCAAAAGCCTGATTTCACAACAACAAAACTACTGTAATGAAAATTCCTAACAAGCCAAACCTCAATCTAAAATCTCACAACAACGTGATTAAATGGAGGCCATTAAAATAAACAAAACACAACACAACAAAAGAACTAGAGACCACAATTGCCTTTGCTTAAGTTACAGAACACAATCTAGAATTCAGGCAAGTGTCAGAACCCAATATGTATGAATAATTTTGGCAAGACTTTTTAGTTCAAAAAGGACGAAAATTTGAAAACAAAAAATCTATTAAAACAATTTCAAATATTTACTTTTTTAAGATTTATTTACTGGGGTTGGCATTGTGGCGTCTAATCTGGGCACTGATTCGTATCCCAGCTGCTCCAGCTCCAATCCAGCTCCCTGCTAAAGGCCTCGGGAAAGCAGCAAAAATGGTCCAAGTGCTTGGGCCCCTACCACCCACAGGGAGACCCAAAAGAAGCTCCTGGTTTCTGCCCGGCCCAGTCCTAACTATTGTGGCCATCTGGGATATGAACAAGATAGCTCTGCCTCTGCCATTCTGACTGTAATTCTAATTTCAATTAAACAAACAATTTTTTTAAAAAATTATTTACTGTGAAAGTGAATTACAGACAGGGAGAGAGATCTTTCATACACTGATTTCACCTCCTCACCCCAGATGGGCACAATGATCAACAACTGGCCAGGCTAAAGCCAAAAGCCAGGAACTTCTTTCAGGTCTCCCACGTGGGTGGCAGCGGTCCAAGCAAACAGGCCATCCTCCATTGCCTTTCTGGGTCATTAGCAGGCGACTGAAAGTAGAGCAGGTAGAACATAAACAAGCACCCATACTGGATGCCAGTATTGCAAGTGGTGGCTTCTCAGACTACACCGCAATGCCTGCCCCGCATTTGTTCTGTTTATACCGTAACATTTTACTTGAAATACCTATCAGAGCCATTGTCATGGCACAACAGGTGAAGCCACTGCCTGAGACACTAGCTAGCATCCCATATGGGTGCTGGCTCAAGTTCTGGCTGCTCCACTTCTGACCTGCTGAACCCCAATGCAGGCTCTGCGTACTCCCTGCCTCTATCAATCATAACGCATTTTAGGAGCCCCTTGGCTTAAATTTTTCAGCATCATTTGACTCCTCCCTTTCTCCTTCTCAACCTGTCCATTCATAACAACTTATTCACAAAGTCCTAAAGTCTCTAACATCTGTTCTGTCCCCTCCAGTCTCACTATGAAGTCCTTAGTCTCAACATTTCCTTTGTTAGCCTGCAGCAGTTACACTCTGACTGCCCTCCGTGTCCTCGATTTTGAATCACATCAAAACATTTCAGAAAACCCTTGCCAGATAAAAGTTCTAAAAAACAGATCATGTCACTCCCCATCTCAAAAACATCTAAGAATTTGTGCTGAATCAAAGTAAAAGTCCACCCTCACTAATCCATCACTCAACAAGGAAATCTGCCTTTCCAGTATCACTTCCTGTAATTTTCTTCCATTTCCTACAGCTAAATACAACTGATATTTCTTGTGCCTGGACCATAATTTCTGACTTACTTCACTGTCCTTCTGCTTAAAAAAAAAAAAAAAATCCCACCTGATTATTTCAACCAATTATTTAGAATTCAGTTTGAAAATCACTTCCTGGGCCCGGCGCAGTGGCACAAGTGGTTAAGGTCCTCGTCTTGCACGCCTGGGATCCCATATGGGCGCTGGTTCTAATCCCAGCAGCCCCGCTTCCCTTCCAGCTCCCTGCCTGTGGCCCCGGAAAGCAGTTGAGGACAGCCCAAAGCTTTGGGACCCTGCACCCGCGTGGGAGACCCAGAAGAGGCTCCTGGCTTCGGATCGGCATAGCATTGGCCGTTGTGCTCACTTGGGGAGTGAATCATTGGACGGAAGATCTTCCTCTCTGTCTCTCCTCTCTGTATATCCGCCTTTCCAATGAAAAAACAATAAAAATAAATCTTTTAAATAAAAAATCACTTCCTTTAGAAGGCCATTTTTATTTCCCACTACTGAACACGCACAGCACCGTTGGAGTTGGCTATCTAACTTGTCACACTTTACAACATGGTTAAATAGTGACCTTACTATTCTGACTAGATTTTTGATGGGAAATAAGTCCATAAGGGGAGGATGCCTTAAAGGACAAGCCAGCCGACTCATGGTCAGTCAGTATTCATATACTTGCTGAAAATGAGCTGACACATTCTATTGTTAAGAGATCAAGGCCTATTAAATAACATGATGTTAACATATCTAGAATACACATTTCATTAATTTGCTGCTGGCCGATGATCTAAGTTTAAAGAACCGGCATTATAAAACAATTTTTATAACAAAATATAAACATATAAAATAAAATTTTATAATAAGATTGTCTTGCAAATTAATTATCAATATTTGTTCCAAAGAAAAAATAATCCACATGCTCTTGTAAGCACAATACTTAACAATCAGTACATATTTATTCTACATACACATTACCTTTGTTTGCTGAGTGAGAAACTATTTACACTGTCCTTAAGAGGTTGTTTGCACTACTGAAATAATTAAAAGAACTTTTGCTTACTCCGAGTAAGTTTTGGAAATCTTTTTTTCAGTTTCTTCCTTAATGGATTAAGTTCAGGCATCATTTCTGGAATAGCTATATAAAAGTCTACTTGAATTTCATCATCCAGAATCTGAAAGTCAAATAACAAAGAAGATAGTCTTAGATTACATGCAAATAAGTATAATGTAATAATTTATCTTACTGAAAATAAGTATAATGTAATAATTTCTCTTTTGATTCAGGGAAAAAAAAGTATCAAGCACAGTTGTTCTGTTCAAACACTAGGAATTATGCTTACAAAATAGGAAAACCATCAGAAGCAAAGCATTTTCTTTTAAAAAGTCCCAGCTGCCATATATATACTTGTAATATTTACTTATCTTAATTCTTTCATGGGGCTGTTAGACAAAACAGAGCACTGATGTGAACAAGGCTCATTCAGTCCCACAAAGTTGAATTTGCATGCCCTTTAAAACTGAACAAGCTAAAGTTTTTGCAAAAAGATCACATGTGAACATAATAACAATAGCTGCCAGCCTCACTTTCTAAATTTAGAGCATCAAGAGAACTAAATCTACAATTATTTTCACAACTAAAACTAAAATTTTCCTTGCCACCAGTAATTAAAAATAAAAGAGTAGGAGGGCTGTTACTGTTTGTGCTCTATTTCCACTCGCAGAACAAAGAGATTAATGCTCGATTTTTAAAGGACACAGTTTGGGGCCAGCACAGTGATGCAACACGTAAAGCCAGTGCCGACAGCAGTGGCACCCCAAATGGACAAGGGTCTGAGTTCGAGATGCTTTACTGCCAATCCGGGTTCCTGCTGATTTGTCCGAGAAAGTGGCTGAAGACTGCAAGCTCGCGAGCCCCCGCATCCACACGGGAAACCTAGAGGAAGCTCCTGGCTCCAGGCTTCAGACCAGCCCAGCTCCAGCCTTGGCAGTCATGTGAGGAGTCCAGCAGCAGATGGAAGATCTCTCCATCTTCCTCTCTCTCTTTATCTCTCTCTCTCTCTAACTCTGCCTTTTAAATAAATAAATCTTTGTTAAAAATCAGATATTTGTTATCAATTCAGGCAAGCATCCAAAATAATTATACTTCGACCATTTTAAAAAATCACTTGAAAATGTACTTGATTATATAACTAAGCAAATTTTAGAAAACAATGTTGCCTGGGCAACAAACACATAACTAATGATTAGTTTTTGTGAAAACTTACCATAAATATGCCATTTGTAGCCTTGGTTTAGTTACACAGTAAATCCTAAAAACTTCAGCAAAATTAAGCAACTCTGGAATTCTATCTTGCTGTTACTATTATTTTTCTTTTTAAATTCCTTACTCCTTAGTAATATACTACACTTTTCTTAACAATAACAACTCACATTAAATGGGCACATTTCATGTGGCAAGCAGTCAGTCAAACATTTCACATGGTCTTTGTAACTATCACAGAAGGTGGGTACTAAAGTGGATCATACATTTCAGACAAGGAAGCTCAGAACTCGGAGCTCAGGGAAGACCAGCCACAGTACACTTGTAAGAGGCCGACTCAGAACTCAATGACAAGTGCTGTGGTTCTAGAATCAGCACCCCTGTCTCGTGGACCAAAAATACCATTTTGTGGGGTTTCTACTCCATTAGTACCTCTCTACACTAATTGTGTGTTCCTTTAAACTAAGTTTAAAATTATGCCCAAAGGTGATAGCAATAATTTTTTTTAGATTATCATGCCTTCTTTTTTAAAGATTTATATTTATTTTTATTGCACAATTAGATATACAGAGAGGAGGAGAGACAGAGAGGAAGATCTTCCTTCCAATGATTCAATCCCCAAGTGACCGCAATGGCTGGTGCTGCGCCATGCTGCACCAATCTGAAGCCAGAAGCCAGGAACCTCCTTCAGGTCTCCCACGTGGGTGCAGGGTCCCAAAGCTTTGTGCCATCCCCGACTGCTTTCCCAGGCCACAAGCAGGAAGGTGGATGAGAAGTGGGGCTACCGGGATTAGAACCAGCGTCCATATAGGATCCTGGCACGTTCAAGGCAAGGACTTTAGCCGCTATGCCACCTCACCAGGCCCATGATAACAATAACTGATCTTAAAATCTTGGGGATGGGCTCTGACACAGCAGCTACAATGCCACTTGGGACACTGATCTTCCAGATCAAAGGGTCTCAGCTCTGCTTCCAATTCCAGTTTCCTGCAAACACACATTCTAGAAAGCAGCAGTGATGGTTCAAGTGCTTCAGTCCCTGCCACCCACAGGGGAGGCCCAGAGGATCTCCAAGCCCCTGGCTTTGGCCTGGCTCAGTCCCAGGGGAGGCCCAGAGGATCCCCAAGCCCCTGGCTTTGGCCTGGCTCAGTCCCAGGGGAGGCCCGGAGGATCTCCAAGCCCCTGGCTTTGGCCTGGCTCAGTCCCAGGGGAGGCCCCGAGGATCTCCAAGCCCCTGGCTTTGGCCTGGCTCAGTCCCAGGTATTTGGGGATTGAACAAGCAGATAGAAGATCTTTGCCTCTGTTGCTCTGTGTACCTCTCTACCATTCAAAGCAATGTAGTAGCAGTAACAATAATTACAGTTAATTGGAATTATATAAAATTATTATCTTGGAATAATATAAAACTGTGGATAAAAATCATGTTCTTAGAGAAATGTAGACATAAATTGCTTTAAAATCTTTCTAAATATATATCTGTGATGTTTCAAAAAGTAAGTAAAATGAACTTAAGATCTTAGAAATGACTCAAAGTTTAGTATATTACCTTGTATTTTACATAAGTCAGAATAGCAAGCTAATTTAAATGCAGTCATGACAATATATGCACCGCAGTACTGAGTTTACTGTATAACCTAAATACTTTCTACAAGTAAATGGACAAGTTTCAAAAGATCATGGTGTAACCTGCAGGAACATACTGAGTCTGATCCTTTGCACAAGTGATGTTATTAACACGTCACCACTAGCCCTCCTAAAGAGAAATTCTGTGCCTATTACATTTTTTAATTAACTGGTCATTTGAGAGGCAGAGAGACACAGGCAGACAAAGCATCCAACTGCTGGTTCACTCCCCAGACATGCACAACGACCAGGAAGGCAATCAAGTCTCCCAAGCAGGTGGCAGGAACTCAGTTACCTGAGCTATCATCACTGCCTCCCGTGGTCTGCATCGGCAGGAAGCTGGAACTGACAGCACAAGTTGGAGACAGGTTATCAAACCCACCACTCTAATGTGAGATACAGCCATCTTTACCGAAAGGCCAAACACCCACTCCTTGTCACATTTTATACATCAAAGTATTTCAATTTTTTTGTATTTTCAGAAATATTTCCATACTTACTCTTTCCACTTCTCAAAAACAAAAAATATTGCTATTGTTTTTAAATAGGCTGTATAACCTCTTTGTTGGTCACTAAAAGCATGGTTCACAATCATTTGTCATCACCATGCTGAGCACATGCTACTCTGAACTGACTGGGAGATGAAACCAAAAGTGCCACATTATAGAGGTCAGATGCTCTTCTTTGTGATCAACTAAGGGACTCACGTTTTCACTCCTACAAAACTAAATAAATATTTGATCTTCAATAAAGACATCCACATGAGCTAAATCTCTGGGATTTCACTCTAAATCTCAAATTCAAAACCAGAGTCTCAATGCTCTTTCTAACCACCCACAAACTCCTATAAACAACGCAGAGGCAGGCACCCTCCTCCAACACCTCCTCTCCCCGCACCCCCCAAAAAAATCACACTATAAATCAAGCATAATCAATACCAAACGTGTCTAGTTAGTTTTTTCTTACACTGATTTTTAAAACTGAAAGAAACAGGCTGGCACCTTGCCTATCAAGTTAAAGCACTGCCTGTAACATCAACATTACCATCATCTGGGATCCAGTTCAAGTCCTGACTGCTCTACTTCCACTCCAACTCCCTGGTAATATGCCTGGGAAAGCTGTGAGACGGTCCAAGCACTTGGGCCTCTGTACCCACATGGGAGACCCAGATGCAGACAGGCTCCTGGCTTTGACCTGATACAGCCCCGGCCATTTTGACCATTTGGGAAGTGAACCAGCAGGTAAATCTCTCCATCTCTCCCTAACTCTGTCTTCCAAACAAATAATTCTTGAAAAAAGGAACAAATCTATTGCCTGTTCTACAAGGCCCTACTATCCATTTATCAAAACATATGACCCTAGTGATTCGTACAACATGCAATAAACCACTGGATGGTGAAGATAACAATAACGAATGAACATGAGAACAACACTGTACCTTCTGAACCAGATCAGCTCCTCCTGCAAAAGCAGCTCCATTCTCTTCGGCTATTTTAATCTCTGATGGGTTCTACCAAAACACAACATCAGCACATTAATTTTAAACAAGTTCAGTATGCTTGGAACTATCCCATAAGAAATGGCAGCACAGTTCAATATAAAAACTGTGGTTTCTTTTTCAATTGAAAATGCATGAATTGATGCATCTTCAATTAAATGCATCAGAACTGTAGATCCAGAATAACCTTAGTTTGTAGGTAATTAAAGAGTTTCATAGGTGACACATCAGCAAATACATCAGCCCGGGATATTAGGAACCCAAGCATCCAGTGCTACCAACACACTGCATCCCAAAAGTATATGATAAAAATATACCTACTTTTGCTAATTTAAATCAAGATATTTTGCCAAGCAAATATGAAAGCGGATTTTTTTTAATTTAAGAAATCAAAGAGCTATCATTTAGCCAGGTGTCTAACAAATTCAAAAGGAAACGAAGCAGAGTTATTTTCTTTCCATTTGTTCCATTTATACCACCTGATTTTACCATGAAAATGTTTTACTCCCTGAGTTACTATAGTGTTGTGGAATTCCAATGACTACATACCCAAATTTTCTGAAAAAAAAAAGTACTTTCTGTTTCAATAAGATAGAAAAAAAGTTTGCATTTTAGATTAAGAAGAATCAAAACATAAGACAAGCTCATAAGTATCGCACACACTTTTAATATAAAATTTATGATAACAGTTACAGATATATTTTAAAGACATTCATTTATCTGAAATACAGAAAGACAGACAGGGAAAGAGAGAATTTCCATCCTTTGGGTTCCTTCACAAATAACTGAATCCACTGGGGCAGAATCAGACCAAAGCAAGGAGCCAAGAACTCCTCCAGGTCTCCTACATGGGTGGTGTGGGTACAAGCATTTGGACCACCATGTGGTAATTCACACGAGCATGAATAGGGAAGTGGAACAGCCACAAAACCAGTCCCAATAAAAGCTATATTTACTATACTACTGTGGCTTATTACATAGGTGATTTTTTCATTTCTAGATTAAATTTTTTTAAAGTTATTGTTTCTGAGGCTCTTTGCATAAGCACTACTTAGTCTCTTTAAAATATCCTATTGGTCACTCTGTTTTGCACTTTCTGATTTCAAATAAATTAGACGGATAGTTTTGGGAACCAGTGTTGTGGCACGGCACATTACGTCACCGCCTGAACACCAATATTCTATATTAAAGAGATTCAAGTGTTTGGGTTCTAGTCTCCCAATGAGACACCTGGATTGAGCCCCAGCTCCCAGCACTAGGTCATCTCCAACCAAGCCCCAGCCATTGCAGAAAGCTGGCATGCAAACTGGGATTTGGAGAACATTCTGTCTGTCTGTCTGTCTCTCTCTCTCTCTCTCTCTCCCCCTCCTTCTTTATCTCTCTTTCTCTCTCCCCACTCCTCCCTCTCTCACTTGTAATGCAAACTGGGATGGGAGCACATTTTCTCTCTCTCTCTCTCTCTCTCTCACTCTTCCCCTCCTTACCTCCCTCTCTCACTTGGCATGCAAACTGGGATGCGAGCACATTTTCTCTCTCTCTCTCTCTCTCTGTCTCTCTCTCTCTCTTCCCCTCCTTACCTCCCTCTCTCACTTGGCATGCAAACTGAGATTTGAACACATTTTCTTTCTCTCTCTGCCTCTCAAACAGATTTTAAACATTTACAAACATTAAAGTAAACCTATTATTTTAGAAAAGAAATTTGAGTAGGAACCAACAGTCCATAGGATAAAATCCACATTTCAGTTTCTTGTGAGAAACACAATGTAGTAGATCAGCAACACTGAAATCTCTCCTCTGGCTTAGCTCTTTCTCAAATACTGAATTCAAAATAAGAGTGAGTGAATGCCACCATTTTCTCTAAGTATTCAGTTATTCTAATCACTGATTAATACGATCTCTTTTTAAAATGAAATTATATAATATGCAACAAAATAAGTTACTCACCCCTGTAAATACAGCAACTTTATTGATTTCGGAAGCAAATGGGTATGGAAAACCAACAACGCTGGCAAATGGCTCCACTCTTTTCTAAATACATGAGAGGAAAAAATTACAGAAAGTTATTTTCATCTAGTTCATATTCTATAAAACGCAACCAACATGTTTTCAAGGATGCTCTATTTCTTTTTTAAGATTTCTGATATTTACTTTGAAAGTGAGAGTTACAGAGACAAAGGGAGAGACTGAGAGAAACAGATAGGTCTTCTGTCTGCTGTTTTACTCCCCAGATGGCTGCAACAGCCAGTGCTAGGCCAAGCAGACGCGAGGAGCTTTGCCAGGGTCTCCACATGAGCACGGGAACCCAAGCACTTGGGTCATCTTCCGCAGCTTCCCCAGGACCTTCGAAGAGAGCTGGATCAGAACCGGAGCAGCTGCAACACAAACCAGCATCCTTATCGTAACTGGTAGTGGCTTTACCCTCTACACAATAGTACTGGCCCCAGCATGTTTTATCTCTAGCATACATCTATTGGTCCAGAACTAATGATCAACTATCATTTAAAACATTAAGAGATCCTCCTGGAGAATAAAGATGGCAGAATAGGGTAAGGACGCGTTTAAACACATGGAGAAACATCAGCCAGTGTGAAGCAGAGAGGACAGAATGACAGCAGGGGGGCACCTGGAGACTGACAAACACAGGAAAGCAGAGGACACCACTATGTGATGTTGCAGTGACCGATACCCCAGTGACATTCAGCGAGCTGTGATCTGAACTGCACCAGCAGTCAGAACTGCGCCAGGAACAAGGTGGGAAGAGTGTTCACAGGGAACTCAGGAGGTGAACCCAAAAAACTGCCCATCTGCTGCTCTGTTTGATTTGACCAAGAACAGAGACAGAGTGGCAGGTACAGGACAGGCGGTGGAGGAACAGCCCAGTCTGCCAGCCCACCTAGAGCCAAGGGTAGACTTCACCCCCTAGAGGTGCCACTGCCATTGGGAGCCACTTTGCATAGGGAAGCAAAGGATATGAGACAGGACTGAGTATGCACTGAGCTGGGAATAGCTCATTTCTGGCTTAGCAAACTGCAACAGCGTGGCATCCTACAGGTTTTACCTAAGATGGGTCTGGGCGGCCCTCAGACCAGATGGCCAACAGATCAAGAACTCTAGTAGTGGAACATCAAGCAACACCTCATACAGTACAGCGTGGCAAAGAATTTAAGACTGCAGGGGACAACAGTGAGCTGTGCATACACTGAGCTGCGAACAAGCTCACTGAGTTCAGGACATTACACTGGTCCCACAGGGAATATAATACTGACTTTGGCATCATACAGGTCAAAATAGGTTTATATGGTCCCAAGACCTAACGACCAACAGGTTCCAGTAACATCAATACCACCAACAATCTAGCTATACAGGACTCCTGGTGTCTCCCTAAACGTGGGACCCACTCCAACCGAAAGTGGGAGAAAGGTTGTAGCCTCAGCATGGTATCACAGGAAATGAAGGCTGATAAGCCACGAGCTGGGACTACTGAGATCATGGTGGAAGTCTAACATAAAAACCCAGATCCAGGGCCTAACGCCGTGGTCTAGTGGCTAAAGTCCTCGCCTTGAACATGCCGAGAACCCATGTGGGCGGGCGCTGGTTCTAATCCCAGCAGCTCCGCTTCCCATCCAGCTCCCTGCTTGTGGCCTGGGAAAGCAGTTAAGGACGGCCCAAAGCCTTAGGACCCTGCAACCGCCTGGGAGACCTGGAGGAAGTTCCAGGCTCCTGGCTTCAGATCAGCACAGCATCAGCTGTTGCATTCACTTGGGGAGTGAATCATTGGACAGAAGAGCTTCTTCTCTGTCTCTCCTCCTCTCTGCATATATATCTGACTTTGCAATAAAAATTTAAAAAGAAAAAAAAAAAAAACCAGATCCAGAACTCGCTGAGGGAGTGGCACAAGTGGCTGCAAACAAAGAATCCTGTACCAACCACAATAAGTAAAATCGAATTGCAGACCTGTGGGTGACACAGCTTAGAAAACTGCCCCAAGGAGAAGAATTTGATCACCCAAAGTGCAATGACAGTGAGCAAAACAGGAAACAAAGGCGTAATGAATATTACTGAAGACTCCCCTGCAAGGAACAAAAGCCTTTGCCAACCGCAGAGTTCACTGAGAAAGACAGCGAGAAAATAGGGGATGTAGAACTCAAAACACTTGTTATAAAGCTTCTTATCAACAGCGAGAAGCATGTAAAGCAGGCATTCAAGGAATTTAAGGAATATGTCATGCAGGAAATGAGAAAGCTGATATATCAGAAATGAAGAACACAGTGGAGCAAATTAAAAGTACAGTGGAGAATCTCCAAAATAGAATGAAGAAGGCAGAATAAAGAATCTAAATATTGGAAGATATTTCCTGTCACCAGGGGGAAACAAACAAAAAGCTGGAAGCAGAGCTGGGTCAAGCTAAAAAAAAGGTATTCAAGAATTGAAAGACATTATTAAAAGGCCAAAATAAGAGTTATGGGAGTCCCAGAAGGTACAGAGAGAAAAGCTGGGTTTAAAAATTTATTCAATGAAATATTAACAGAAAATTTCCCTAATCTAGAGAAAAATTAGGAAACAATATCCAAGAAGGATACAGAACTCCCAACAGGCTTGACCAAAAGTGATCTTCACCATGACACATGATAATCAAGCTTTCTTTAACGAAACATAAGAAAAAGATCCTTAAATGTGCTCATGAAAAAAAAAATCAACTGACAATTAAATTCACAAGAGACCTCTCACAGGAAACCCTACAGGACAGAAGAGAAGGGAGCAACACATTCCAGATTCTAAAAGCAAAAACTTCTCGGCTCAGGATAACATACCCAGCAAGGCTTTCCTTTGTCTTTGAAAATGAAATAGGGCCCGGCGCTGCGGCCTAGTGGACAAAGTCCTCTCCTTGAATGCTGCCAGGATCCCATATGGGTGCCAGTTCTAATCCAGCAGCTCCACTTCCCATCCCAGCTCCCTGCTTGTGGCCTGGGAAAGCAGTCAAGGACGGCCCGAAGCCTTGGGACCCTGCACCCACGTGGGAGACCAGGAAAAAAGTTCCTAGCTCCTGGCTTCAGATCGGCATAGCATCAGCCATTGGGCTCACTTGGGGAGTGAATCATGGGACGGAAGATCTTCCTCTCTGTCTCTTCTCCTCTCTGTATATCTGACTTTCCAATAAATAAATAAATCTTTAAAAAAAAAAAGAAAATGAAATAATAAAATCCTTCCACAATAAAAAGATTATGCCTATTCCTTCCGAGACTATCATAGGATTAACCAACAGAACGCATGCATGGCATTCAGCATGTGGCCTGATGCAAAGCTTTCAGTAAATGTTCACTGCTAGCCTTGAGCATGGATAAATCCATCACCTGCATTTTCTCATTTATTCCTTGTTGCACCCATATAATGTGAACATTTTCTCTTACAAAAAGATGGAAAAAAACCTGAGATTTAAGGAAGCTAAGCAGTAAATCTGACGGCAAGCAACAAAGTGGCCCAACACAGAGCAGCAACAGGGCTGGGTGTTTGGTACAACGGGTTAAGACACTTTGGAACTCTTTCAACCCATATTCTAGTGGCTGTGCTCAAGCACCAGCTCAACTTCTGGCTCCAGCTTCCTACCAGAGCCCGCGTGGGAGGCAGCAGGTGACAGCGCCAGCACTTGGGTCCTTGCCACACACATGGGAAAGACAAACTGACTTCTGGCTTCTGGTTCTGGAATGGGTCAGCAGCTCTGGCTATTGTGAGCACTTGGGAAGTAAAAACAGCAGACAGAAGAGCGCCCCTCTGTGTTTGTCTTTCAGATAAAATGAAGTGAATAAAAATGTTTTTAATAGTGCAGAAGGTTGGACTGCGGTCTGTACTGTACGCTCTTAAGTACTTCCCTGTACGGCTTCCTCCTAGGAGCTCTGCCTATCACTGTGACTGTTACATTAGATCTCAAAATGTGTACCTTTTAGATTTAATAAAGAAAGACATCTTCCCAATAACAGCTACCATCCCATTTCCAAAAAAACAAGATTAGATTTCTTGGGGCCAGTGTGGTTGTGCAGCATCTTAACCCTCCACCTGTGGCACTCACTTCCCATATGGATGCCATTTCTAGTCCAGGCTGCTCTACTTCTGATCCAGTTCCCTACAAATGGCCCAGCAAAGCACAGAGTGCTGCCCTCAGCCTTCAGTCCCTGCACCCACAAGGCAGACCCAGAAGAAGCTCCTGGCAACCAGCTTCTGACTGGCCCAGCTCTGGCCATTGTGGCCAGTTGGGGAGTAAATCAGCAAATGGAAGATATGCATACTTGCTCTCTCTCTCTTTCTCTCTCTTCCTTTCTCTGTAACTCTTACAAGTAAAATAAATAAGTCTTGAAAAACAATTAGATTCCTTAAACAAAACATGTAAAATTCAGAGCAGTCACAGACCTGAATACTGGTCTAATGTTTTTCCTGCTATTACAGTTTTACATGCAAGCCTTCTAACTCTGACTCCAGCTGAAGCAAGAGTGGGGACCTTGGGACACTTGTGGTCTCAACAGAAGTACCCCAAGAAGACATTTTAAGGTTCTAAACTAATCCAAAGATCTCGTTCATATAAAAAAAAAAAAGAGGGCCCAGTGCTGTGGCCTAGCAGCTAAAGTCCTCATCTTAAATGCACCAGGATCCCATATGGGCGCCAGTTCTAATCCCGGCAGCTCCACTTCCCATCCAGCTCCCTGCTTGTGGCCTGGGAAAGCAGTTGAGGATGGAAGAGGATCCTGGCTCCTGGCTTCGGATCAGCGCGGCACCAGCTGTTGCGGTCACTTGGGGAGTGAATCATCAGATGGAAGATCTTCCTCTCTGTCTCTCCTCCTCTCTGCATATCTGACTTTGTAATAAAAATAAATAAATCTTTAAAAAAAAAGAAAGAAAGAGAGCAAGCAAGCAAGCAAGCAAGAAAGAAAACACTACACACAGCTTATTTCCCCAAGTTAGGGTGATACGTCAACTCCTTTTAATCAGTTCAACACTTCTATGCTACAAACTCTTCAAGAAAACAGGAGACACATATTCACCAATTCTCCTGTTTCCAATATGGTATTGTCCACTTGGGAAATTAAGAAACGGTTAGGAAGAGCACACATTTTCCATAAATTAATATGGTAGCAAGAAATTTTTTTTTTTTATTGAAAAAACACTGGGCCCGGAACGATAGCCTAGCGACTAAAGCCCTTGCCTTGAGCACACCAGGATCCCATATGAACCCACTTTCCATCCAGCTCCCTGTTTGTGGCCGCCTGAGAAAGCAGTTGAGGACGGCCCAGAGCCTACACACTTTTGGGAGACCCAGAAGAAGCTCCTGGCTCCTGACTTTGAATTGGCGCAGTTTTGGCCATTGTGGCCACTTGGGGAGAGAATCAGTGGATGGAAGATCTTCCTCTCTATCTCCTCTCTCTGTGTATCTGCCTTTCCAATAAAAATAAACAAATCTTTTTAAAAAAATGACGTAGGGGTATAACGGAACCCTGCATCCAGACAAAATATGGAATCCCAATGAAACTGTTGGGCATGTGTAGACAGTGGGATGCTGGACTGACTGACATTGTCTGTACCAACAAAGTCGGGGTACACTTAAATAAGAGACTGATAGAATTATGATTCCTTATGAAGGACTACACTATTGTAACAAAATGGAAAAAATCTGACGGGGTTTGGAGTTTGGGGAGGGAATCCCAGCCTGTACAAAATTGTACCACACAATTCAAAATTCAAAGTAAAAATATATTTATGAAAAAAAAAAGAAGAAACACCAAGACAAAGCCATGGTTTAACTAAGTCCACGTACCTTCTTCCCCAGGGACATGTCTAGGGTCAAATCAAGATAGACCCCTTGCTTGGGATTGGTAAAGTCCAGAACCTGAAATTTCTTAAGTAACTGAACAGCTTTCTCCACCTCATAGATTTGCCTGGGGAACAAGCGTTTTAAATAGACATCCTCTGCAGGTTCGCCCTCCATGTAGACATACGACTTCAGCTTTTCTATCTCATCTTGTTTTTCAGCTGGCGTTTTTTCTTTGGCACCTTTTTTCGTTTTCTTTGCAGGCCTTAAAAGAAGAAGAAAAAAAAAAGGATAAATTCAAGACCGGTTATATCAATATCCTGTGACACTTTTTTTAAAGCTTGCAAGACATGGAATAGAACAAGATAAGAAGATCAACTTCAGTTAAAAAGCACAGCCTGCGTCACAATTTTTCTACTTCAACAAACATTTAGGTAAAAGTGCATACCATTTGCCAGTGCAAAGTTAACTAAACACTGATACTGCAGGATTTTAGGGTGCAGCAGAGGAAACAGCCAGGCCATGAGATCACGTTAACAGAATGTGGTAGGTACTACGAGAGCAATCAGGAGCCCATGGAAAGGCAGTGTAGTCCAAGAGACTGGGGAAGAGCTCTCGCACAGACAATCCCATAAGCAGCTCTTAAAATACAAGGCTGGTTTGGATGTGGTAGCACAGTCAGTTAAACCACTGCTTGGGATAGCCACATTCGATCACGGAATGCTGGAACAAGTCATTCTCTCAATCCAGTCTCCTGCTAATGCGATATGCACCTTAAGAGGCAACAGATGACAGCCCGCGTGTGTGAATCCTAGCCCCCTGGGGAGGGACCTGGATGGCCCATCTCCAACTAAGTCCAGCTATTGTGGGCTTTGGGAGAGTGAACAAGAACAAGTACATGGAACATCAATTTCTTTCTCTTCTTCCTCTGCTCACTCTTTCAAGCAAATAAAACTAAAATACACTTTTTAAAAAAAGGATAAAGAAGGGCCAGCACCCTTCCTTAGAAGTAGGCTGAGCCTCTACCTGCAGCACCGGCATCCCTCACGGGAGCGGATTTTAGTCCCAGCTGCTCCACTTTTGATCCAGCTCCCTGCTAACACATCTAATAAAGCAGTGGAAGATGATTCAACTTCTTGGGCCCCTGTGCATATAGAAGACTCAGAAGAAGCTTCTGGCTTCAGACCAGCACAGCTACAGACACTGAAGCCATTTAAAGAGTGAATCAGCAGATAGAAGATCTCTATTTCTGTCTTTCCTCTCTCTCTGTAACTCTGCCTTTCAAATAAAAATAAACAAATCTGGGTTCGGCACAGTGGCCTAGGAGCTAAAGTCCTCACCTGGAACGCATCAAGACCCCATATGGGCCCCAGTTCTAATCTAGGCAGCCTTGCTTCCCATCCAGCTCCCTGATTGTGGCCTGGGAAGGCAGTCCAGGATAGCCCAAAATCTTGGGACCCTGCATCCACGTGGGAGATCCAGAAGAAAGACTCCTGGCTCCTGGCTTTGGATCGGTACAGCTCCGATTATTGTAGGCGCTTGGGGAGTGAATCAGTGATGGAAGATATTCCTCTCTCTTCCTCTTTTTATATCTGACTTTCCAATAAAAACAAATCTTCAAAACAATGAGATAAATAAATAAATCATTTTTTAAAAAGACAAGAGTTAGTCTAACTAGATTTAGACCCGATAGAAGTAAAATCCTAAAACCACACAAAAATTTTTACACAAATGTGCATAGCAGCATTATTCAAAATAACCAAAGAAACGAATATCCATCAAATGACGAATGGAAAGATTAAGCTGTGACGAATCCACACAGTGGAGTGTTAATCAGTAATAGGAAGGAATGAGTCAACTTTGTGGCACAGCAAGCTAAGCTGTGACTTGCAACATTAGCATCCCACCTAAGAGTGCTAGTCCAACTCCAGCTGCTTCATTTCAACATATGCTAACGTGCCTGGGAAGGCAGAGGAGGACAGCCCAAGTATCGGGTCTCCTGACACCCACACAGAAGACCCAGATGCAATGCCGAGCTCACGGCTTCGGGCTGGCCCTCTCCCGGCCTTTGTGGCCATCTGGGGAGTGAACAAATGAAAGTAAGATTCCTCTTTCGCTCTCCCTCCTTTCCTCACTCACTCTCTTTCTATGTGTTTCTCCATCTCTAACTCTGTCCTTCAACTAAATAAATGTTAAAAGAGAGAGAATTGCAGTACTGACACATGCTAAGACACACATGGACTAGAAAACATTATATTAAGACAAAGAAACCTGTCACAAAAGACCAAATATCAAGAATGGCCAAATCCATAGAAGAGGAAAGTAGATTGATTAGTGGCATCTAGAGTTAGGGGAGGGAACGGAAGAACAGAAACTGATGGCTAACAAGCATGGGGTTTTTCGAAAATGTTTAAATAAAACTGATGGTGATAATTACACACTTCAGAAAATACACTGAAAACCACTGAAATGTGAACTTCAAGTGAGTGAGTTGTATGATATGAAAATGATACATTAACGTGCTGTTACGCAGAAAATATATACAGGCAGGCAAAGAAACAAAATAATAAAAAGTGGTGAGGCATGAAATAAAATGTTATACAATGGAAGCTATTATAAGTTCTACAGGGCTGGCTCTGGGTTTGACAAACTTTTTCCATAAAGGGCCGGGCAGTGTGTCACAGTGACTCAACTCCACCACTGAGGGCAAGGCAGCTATAGGCAGTGCCTGAAGGAGCAAGCATGGCTGTGCTCCAGCACCACATATTTATAGATACTAAGTAGGAATTTCATAATTCTCATGTGTCACAAAACATTACAGTTGTCTTCTAATCATTTAAGAAATGTAAAACGATTCCCAGCATATGAACTATACAAACACGGGGCTGCAGACCTGATCTGGCCCACCGGCCAGAGTTTATCGACCACAGGAACTAAAAGGGTGACGCGTAAGGCAGGAAAGAGCGGAAAATGACGTTGGAGATTCTACACCAGAGGGCCTTTCTCCAGGCAGTGGGAACGCAGTGAGCACGAATGACGTGCACATTTCAGTAGGGGATTCTGTGGCTGTCAACAGAGGCAGGACCAGAGGCCATCCCAAGATGATCCTCCCTTCCCATTCCAGGTGGCACGCAGCCTGAATCAGAGCCGGGATGGTAATAAGGCTAGAAAACACGCAGAAGAGAGGAAGATACACAAAGTAAGCACCAAAGACAAGGAAAGGAGACAGAGAAGACTCAATATTTCTGAAGTTTCTAACTTGAGTAACTATAGACAGAGCAGTATCGGTAACCATGAGCAGAAATGAGGCAAAAACGGGATTCTGGTGAGCGAGGCCATCAGTTCAGTTTGGCATATGGACTTCAGGGTGTAAGGCAGACTGCATTCTTTGCCCAACCATTGTCTCGTTCCCCCTCCGAGTCCCTTTTTGCTAAGTGACTCTGCAGCCCATCCGACTAAAGGGGTGAAGTATACTTCCCAGCCCCTTGTATTGGCCTTCTGACTACAGGGGAGTTTCACAAAAATCATGGAAAATACACATTACAAAAAAATATGCATGGATTTCAAACTTTTTGGCACGAAAAATAGATTTATCCTTGAATTCCATTTTTTCACGAACTTTTTGAATATTTCCTGGTTTTGGCTAACCACAAGTAAATAAGGCAAGAATGATACTTGACTGGCTCTCAGTTTAGACAATAGGAGGCTTCATATGTTGCCTGCTTTTATATCTATCTCCCAAGAACAACATGCCCAGGCTAGCCATCCAGAAGAATGAGGGCTGGGTGGAACACAGCTGCTCCCACAGCGCTCCAGGCTAGGTTAGACAGTTCTCCGCCGACCTCAAAGGTGCCCAGCAAGTCTAGCCAAGGTCATCAGAGACTCATCTGAACCCAGCCTTCATCAGCTGACCCGTGATGTGTGGGCAGGGATTAACGATGGCACAGTCTGTTACATAGCACAAACTAACAGGGCACTTACAAAACACTTGAAAAGAAAATGTGTTCAACAGGTAATTGCAGGTAAGAGCTTGAAGCTAAGGGGGAAAAGCTACGGTAATAAAAAGTTTCTCAGCATCACTTCGTATCACACATGTACTCTTTCTTTAAAAATGTATTTACCTGTTTATCTACTTATTTATTCATTTGGCAGACTTTCAAAGAAAGAGGGAAAAACAGAGAAGTTCCATCAGCTGCTTCTCTCCCTAAATGGCCACAACAGCCAGGGCTGGGCAGATCAAAGCCCCATTAGCTTCTACTGGGCCTCCTACGGGGTTACAGGGGCCCGAGAACTCCGGCCATCCTCTGCTGCTTTCCCAGGCCAGCAGCAAGGAGCTGGATCAGAAGCAGAGCACCAGGAGCTGGAACTGGTGCTGATACGATATGCCTGCTCTCCAAGCAGTGACTGAAGCCACTGTGTCACAACTTCAGCCCCCACACACACTCCTCTAACCATAAATGTTGCTAAATGCTTATTTTCTTATTTTTATTTATATATATTTTATTTATCCACTGATTCACAACTCAAAGGCCAAAATCCAAAGTTCCAAACTCTTTCCAGGTCTCCCACTGTACCAGCTGTAGTGAGGGGGTATTATTCTGCCTACTATGGTACTCAAACATCTTTCTAGAACATATTTCATTAATTAAAACATTTGTGAGGGTAGTGGCTTGGAACTGTGGTTAAGATGCTATTTGGGGGACCCAGCGCAGTAGCCTAGCAGCTAAAGTCCTTGCCTTGCATGTACCAGGATCCCATACAGGCCCCAGTTCTGATCCCAGCAGACCCATTTCCCATCCAGCTCCCTGCTTGTGGTCTGGGAAACCAGTCAAGGACGGCCCAAAGCTTTGGGAACCTTTTGGGAGATCCAGAAGAGGCTCTAGGCTCCTGGCTTCAGATCAGCTCAGCTCCGGTCATTGCAGCCACTTGCTGAGTGAGTCATCGGATGGAAGATCATCCTCTCTGTCTCTCCTCCTCCCAGTGCATCTGATTTTCCAATAAAAATAAAATATATCTTTTAAAAATATATATTTATACTATTTGGGATGCTTACATCCCATACAAAGTGCTGGGCCCATATCCCAGCTCCACTGCCAATTTCAGTTCCCTGGGAGGCAGCAACTGACGGCTCAATTACTCGGGTCTCCATCATCCATGCAGGAGTCGAGGAGTGAGGTCTGGGCTCTGGCTTTGGGCTTGCCAAACATCTGATGCTGTGGACATTTGTGGAACAAATCAGCAGATCCAAGGTCACACGTGCACGTG